TACAAAATTGTGAACCAAAAACAATTCACCGCTCACAAATTATTTCGTAAATGTACTTTAAGGACAATATTAAATATTGATAAATATTTTATTTCATAATATTTGTCCGGATTTAACCAATGTAGACAATCTCGCACACACAATTTATCGCACGTGAAATTACACAAGATGAAGGTTGGGTATCAGGGATGAGCGCAAGAGACTATCTCAAAAAACGCAACGCAAGGCCAAAATTTAACTCAAATAACGCAAGAAATTGGGAAAAAAATTGGGAAAAGAATTTTTAAATCAAGGTGGTTTAACGAAGTAGCGGGTACCGGGTATATCAGGTATATAGGGAGATTTGGAGGGATAACGAGAGATCTGAGCTCCAGATACTGAACCGATATTTTTTGAGTCGTTCCATGTTGGAAATTGTTATTTAAATACTCTACTTTTAGAGCCGCAAACGGAAATTTTGAGAATTGGGGCTCATCCCAGATACCCTACCTCCATCTTGTGTAATTTCACGTGCGATAAATTGTGTGTGCGAGATCGTCTATAATGGTTAGATCCGGACAAAAATTATGAAATAAAATATTTATCAATATTTAATATTGTCCTTAAAGTACATTTACGAAATAATTTGTGAGCGGTGAATGGATTTTAGGTTCACAATTTTGTATAAAACACGACGGAATTTAACAACTAAAATTAAAAATAAATTTTTTAAAAATGTTTTTCATCAAATTTTTATCTATTTTTAAAATATTATTTTTAATATTTTTTGATTATTCTTTTTCTGATTATAAAAATAATCAACGAATTTTGGTTAAATCTACAGAAAATAATAAAAACGAGGATGGAAGTGTTAAAATAAATTTGTTGGGAATGCAAGTAGATAAAATTGAAGAACGGATTGGCCTTTATAAAATTGAAATTTATTATGAAATTGATGAAAAGAATGCAAAAGATTATGTTTACACAAGTTCTTCTCCATACGAGTGTAGTAACTCTAACGAAAATTTCCATAAAATCAAGAGAGTAATTAACGGAAATGAAGGGAAAAAATTAATTTTGATTGAGGATGCGTTTTGGTATTTCAAAATAACAGAACTAAATATTTGCTTAAGAGAAAACAATGGTGTTAAGGTATCAGTCTTATTTTGAATTTTATACAATCGAGACAAATGGTTGGAAGCTCGTTCCAAAATTCGTAGGGAAAAACGAATTCACATTGAAATAAGAGAAAAAAATGGACAGCCTGTACAAGTATAAAGCATGTACCTCTTGTGGTTGAAAAATCTAACCCCCCCCCCCCCCCCAGCCACAAAAATACTGACAAATAAAGAAAATCTATTTTTATTACATGGGAGTGTACATTATAGTATAATTTCTGGGTATATAAATTTTCAGACTGCATTTTAATTTTAGAAATTAATGAATTTGGAGTCTATGTTTTTTGCACAGATTAATTTAGAAGTAGATAGCCTGAATATTGAGAGTATGGAAAATGCTGCTAGTTCTAATGGTGCAGAAATAAACATAAACGGTGTAAACTCAATTTTAAAGACATTTCAAAACAATTATGCAAAGTTGACAAGATTAATATGTTTTTTGAATCCAGAAGGGCCTAGAAAAATTTTAAAAAGAGAAAATTTTGGCAAGGCTAATTTAATTGAGTCAACTTCATTAAAGGGCAAAAAACATGAAGAGAAAATGGAATATTCTCACATTGAAATTTGTTTAAAATTTGAAAATCCGGGAAATTATTTTATTACTATCACAAAAATTTTTATCGATGGATGGTTTCAATTCTACGTTAAAATTAAAAAAGCAGACGAGGAAAGATGTGTGTTCAAAATGTTCAAGAAAATTTCCGATTTTGAGAAAAAAGTATTGAAAAGTCTGCGTCATTCCATAAGAATAACTATAGCAACAACTAATGTAGATGATATTGAAGATGGTCAAATGGGTTTACATAATAGTTTCCTTAGTCCTAAAATGGTTGTCAAAATAACTCCATTATTGAATGATGGAATTTATGCATTTTACTTGGATGAAGATGGAATAACAAGAGAAAGATTGTAAGAAAGCTTGTTGATGCAAGGTTTTGATGCATCTTTTTTTGCTTTATTTGCTGGGCTGGGGATACTTTTCTGGCTTTACACTATTAATATTTAAAAATCTATCACAAACCAACTATAAATAATTTTTTCTTTCACCCCAAATTTTCTCTCATGGATACCAGCTAAATATTGTTAGACAAACTCCTGACCTCCTAACTCAAAACGGATGGTTTTCTAGCAATAATTCATTATTATATTTCATATAATTTTTGTTCTTTCATATAATTTTTCTGTTAGTAAAAGCAATTTGTAATTTAAATTTCTCCCTTCCCTTCCCTTCCCTTTTATTGACCAGAAAATGGGCGTAAAACAATTTAATAATTTTATTTAAATTATGACAATGACACTTCATTCGAAATTCCTGGGAAATTTCCTGGGAAATTTCCTGGGAAATAATTTGAGTAAAGAATGAGTTTTTTGAAGAATGAGTTCGAAGAATGAGTTCGAGAATGAGTTCGAATTTCCTGGGAAATAATTTGAGTAAAGAATGAGTTTTGGCATCAATAAAACTGATCAAAAATGAGATCGTTAAAGCCTTCAAATTTTAAAACTATACAAAAGCTGTCGAATCAAGCCTATTGAAGAGCATTTGTATTGCAAACCAATAGCTCCTGGAAAACATACAGTCACAGTATCAAGTGCCAAAGTGCCGTTAAGATTAGTGGTTAGGATACCAGGCCATCTTCATTTAAATTTGTTGCAATGCGAAGGTCTTGTTACTGAAAATCATTTCATAAAATTATTATTAGAATTATTAAAATAAGCTTTTTAAATTTGTTGAAAGGCAGTATTTAAGAAGTAAACTCAAACAGATCTGGAGTTGGCAACATCTCACTGGCTGCCAATTATGCCCCGAATTCCTTTAAATATGTCAGGAAGTCATCGAAGCCGTTATAGCAGGAGGGGAGTGGTAACTCCAATGAGCTCCTTTACATCATAGTTTTTTTTCAAATTTGCCACCCTTGATCGAATTCTATCCATTTCCAGTCTTGTACCACTCTTTTTTTCAAATACATTTTAAATTTGTCCGAAATTAATCCTCACCCTTAATTCACATCTTATTAGCTAGCTCTTATTGCCCAGAGAACCCTCTGGAAAACCGGCCGGATTTACCCTAGGGCGTTGAGTGACTTAGGACAAATTTTAATAACACTTAAAATTCTATATCTTGAGAACCGTTTTACGATTTAAAATCAGTCAGTATATATAAAAAATGCCTTTTACTCTAGGCAATAGGTTAAAACTACACAAAAAACACACAGTCCAAAATCGAATGTTTATTTAACTAACAAATTTTTTACTCCACAACAAAAAATGAGTAAAAATAGGTGGTCGGATTAATAAGAGAAAAAATACTGGCAAGTCAAGAGAATAAACAAGCAAGGCTAAATCCAAGCCAAAAAAGGGATATTTTTACTAAACAGAGAGATTGCCAGTAAGAAGAGCAAGTGGTAAAAATTATATATGTGTAAAAATGGAATAAAAAATTAATTCTTAAAGGCAAGTCAAAAGCCAACCAAAAAACAGTGGTATGGTGAATGTAAAAATTGTTGTGAGTGTGTCTCCCCGCCCGAAGTTATATTTTTAGAAGAAAGAAAAAATAGGCTGGGAGACACACTAAACATCAAAACACAAAATATTAAATAAAATTAAATTTTAATGGCAATTAAAAGTGCCAATCCGGCACAGTATATTTTATAGTTAATTGTTTCAAGATTCGCTGAAAAAAATTTGTGAATTTTTAAACGCTTTTCAAGGAGTTTTTAAACGCGTTTCAATTTTAAACGCTAAATTGTATAAACTTATAATACTACAATTGACAACTTTTAAAAAAATTTTATCACTTGAGTTCATTAGTTATAGTCTCCCTAATGTAGACAAAAATACTTCCGAATATGGACAATAATTCGAAAGATCTCAGTGAGATACGTCGAATGAGACCAAAATGAAAGACCGACATTAATTATGAACTGAGATAGACTCCTAAAAATCGCGAAGATTGTGTTTTAAAAAATTCAAACTTTGTTAAAAATGTATATTAGCTTCTCAACCTTAGTGATTGTTTAACAATTTTGTACTACAAAAATACAGAATTTGAAAAAATCGTAAGGGAGGATCAAAAGTTATAAAATTAATCTAATTCCCCTCGCAAATGAGAGAATTTGACCATTTTCCTATCCTCTGACCATTTTATAAACTCATCTCTTTCTGACCCATTCTCTTGTTTACAATAAAGTCAGATTCACGAGAGATCGAACAAAATAAAGAGAGTAAATAGACATTTAATTTAAATGTTGGCGTTATGTTTAAGGAAAAGAGTTTGCGTATTTTATGTAGTTTTGCGTATTTTTGGACTGCGTAGTTTCGTCTTGCAAAGTTTTCAGTGCGTTCCCTAACCATTTCCTTTCTTCTCTAAATTGTCAGCGCCCAGTTTTCACCTAACTCATTCCAAGCTTGAATGAGAAGAATTTATTTAAGTTTCCTTTATTTTCTAATTGATTAGAATTCTATTAAACCCACCATAGTTTTAGAATAACTTTCTATTAAATATTAATTTTCAGTGTCATAATGATGTTATGCAAGATTATGATCCTTTTTAACCTGATAAATTTATCATTAACCATGCTTGATAAACTCAACGTTGTTTTTTTTATTTTAATTGTAATTAGAAAATAATTTTTAGCAAGGTGTGTACGTAGCTAGTGATCCTTCTGATAAGGCCGCAACTTTGCTTCCTCTTCACCCAAATTCATTTGCACTCACGACCGAAGTTGTTCAATTCAATTCTTTTTCCTCCATACACGACAAAATCAATGTTATTTTTTATTTTAATTGAAATTAAAAAATAATTTTTAGCATGAAAGTGTGTATGTAGCTAGTAATTTTTCTGTAATGGACGAAACTTTGCTCCCTCTTGACTCTGACGGATCTTTGCCACTTTCAACTGTAGCAGTTCAATTTCCATACGTAAATGGCTTGAAGTATATGTCTCGTGGATACTTTAGACAGCTTAGGTTTCTTTTACATTATTCTAGCCATCGAGCTTTTAAGATTAGTCATTTTTGGGTAATATTCAAGTTATTACCGCCCCTCTTGTTCCTTCTTCAAAGTGTTAAAAATGGTCAGATTTAAAATCTTACCATCTTTGCTCTAGCTTTTTGAACCAATTTCAAAGGTGTGAACCACTCTTTTTACTTGTAATATTCAGGCTCACCTTATTCCCACAAAATCCTTATAAGAGTGCGAACTCTCACCCCCAGTTATGGTACACGCACAATTCTCTATTTATTCTAAAAGGCAGAACTCGTACCTATTTTAATATACTGAGGAAAGAAGGAAGGGGGGTACGAACTTGAATTTTACTGCTTTTTTGCTTACCTTCACAAATCAGTGTAACCCTATTGATTTTCTTAGTTTTGAGTTGTTCTAGAAACCATTGATTTTTAGGTTACCTTGTTTTTATGATTCTTAGGGTTCTCCTTACTCGAGTGCCACAGTTCTTTTACTAAAACCCCTTAGAGCTAGGATTTTAAAATTTATTTAAATCTTGGTTCCATTGACTTGTCCGCAAAAAATGTCCGCAAAATAAATAAAATCTCCTCACAAACAAATATATAGGGAAGAATCAGCTTCAACATTACCTAACAATAACCCTATTAAATATTTACATTTTAAGGATGAATATGAATAAAACTGCTTTTTTACCGCCTCTTGATGGGTGGACTGACAAATGTATTTTATTTACTTTGCCTATTTAAAATAAAAAAATTTTATTTGTAGTATTTCTTGTAATTCCAAAAGTCGAAGCGCCACCTACGTCAGAATTGATTGAAATTAAAAAAGGTTTATATAAGAATCTGTTTAATTTCTATAAGTTAATGTGGGATTTCAATACGTACATAAATCCTTTAAGCATTTAGGTCAAGAGAATCTTTAAGGAATGAGTCGAAACTATCTTTGGATATTTTTGAAAAATTGGGCGTGGGGGTGGGACTTTTTCTGAAGAATTTTGGTGGGCCTTTTCTCTTCAATTTTAACTCTAATTCATTAACAAAGTTCTCCAAAATTAATCTATTATTGATTGAGTGACAAAGCAACATAAAGGTCCGCAGGAAAAGCCCTCCATTCGAAAAATTCACGGGTTCCGTGTAATTAATTCATATATGCAGATTTTGAATACCTTAAGCGAACCATGAATTTTAGTATTTACCCTACTATATTGTTTGCCACTTAACAAGAAAATTACTCAAGTTTTTACCTTTCGATAACTTTTTCTGGTTTAGGTTTGGGATGTTTTGAATTCTAATTTTTAGGGAATTCAATATTTTAAATAAAGGATTTACTAAAAATATTGTTTATATATTTTTTATTACTTTCCTTTATTTACTCAATTTTTAGATATTGGGGAACTTAAAACTAAAATTAATCGTTTGGAGGGAAAAATGGAGACTTTGGAGACTAAAATTGATGAAAAATTGAATCGTTTGGAGGCTAAAATTGACAGCTCAATCAATTACAATCTCCAGGTATTTTGGAATAAATTTGGTAATTATTCCAAAAATTTTTTTAAAAAAATTTCTGCATTATTTTAAATATTGGGGATTTTTAAGGTCTGTTTGTGGGTTAATATTTAAGGTTTTTTAAAATTTTGGCCATTTTTAAACAAAATTTTCTGCTTCATAAAAGTTTTTTGTGGCTTTTTAGCTTCATTAATTCGATCTAAAAATTGTCCATAAATAAAAGGACCAGATCAAAATAAATTAATTTTTGGGCTAAAATTTATTTAAAAACTCGATTCTTTTCGAATTTCCATTTTTTCCCTTTTTAAAAATAAAAGGGTTGGATCTGTCCTAAATTGTTTTTACAAAATTTTTACTAAAAATAATAAATTTTAACCAACAACGATTTTTCGTATTGTTCGTTCTTAATTCTGTACTAAATTTTGAAATTTTTGTTTGATTTGATTGGAAAAATTTTTTATTTTTTATTATTCTTTTCCGGATAATCCAAAAATTTTTTTAGATAATAATGATGATAATGACTCTTATTGCATTGGTCATTTCAGTTATTTCTCTAATTCATGGTTTATGCAAGAAATAAGTCGTGTTTGACATATGGATCTATAAATTATTTTTAAAAACCTCAATTAAAGACCTCAAAAATATATTTCAATTTTCTTTCAAAAAATCTCCTTCACCTTCGGGTTATTCAAAAAATTTACGGTTTTAAAAAATATAGATCCTTAACTAATCTAATTTATAACTTATAAATTCACTTAATTTCTGTACTAATTTTGATTCTTATACTAAAAAACATCTCAAAAACATGTAATTTAAAAATAATCTCTTTTGAATGTTGGAAAAGTCTTAAACCGAAAATCCATTTTTTTCTCGTATTGATAGGCCATTAAAAATTTTTTTAAAAACCAAAATTTTCAGAAAATTGATAAGAACATAAAAAACGGTGTGGGCATAAATAAACTTTTTAAGACGTTTTGGTGGGCCTTTGGTAGAATCAAGTGCCAAGATGAGGGGCGGGGTGGGGAGAGGGGGCTGGGAGGGTGGGGGTAAAAATTAATTTTTTCTTGAGTAAAATTTGTTGGGAGTAAATATTTTTCTTAATTAACACTTTTCCAACTTACAAAATAAGCTTTCTATTGTTAAAAAACCAAGAATTTTTATTTATTTTTGGAATTTCTATGATTTTCTAAAATTTTTTAAACAAAAAACAAAATTCTTGTTTTAAGTGATTTTTTATTTGCTCAAAAAGAGACTGCCATATTTTTTATTTTTTTAATTTTAACAAAATTTAATTTTCGTATAAAACTAATTTATTTCTTATAATTAATTTAAAATAGATTCTTATACCTAGTTCTTATACCTAGTTCTTATACCTAGTTTTTATACCTAAAAATTAAAATGTCCGCAGATACTTCTGGATAATAATAATGATTTAACCAAACTAAACAAATAGCTAAAACAAACGGGATTTTAAACCAAAAATTAAAAAAAAAATTTTCTATTCAAATACATTTTTTAGAAATTTGTTGGAGTGGGGAGAGGGAAGGGGGAAGTGCCTAACATAATCTAGGATACAATTTTCAATACTGGTGTCGGATCTTATTGTGCAGTTGGACTGTATTTATGAAGCATGCGAATTTGCTTCACAATCTAGATGACCATAATTTTCTGATTACGTAAGGCCAATATGTGGAAAATTTATTTTCTATTATAACAGTTAAAGCTCTCGGTTCCCTGTCTAAGAATCAATTATCAGGTACTGAGTATTTACCGATCGAGACCTGAAAATGTGTCTCGATCCATTTACCCTAAATCAACCGGAAGTTCATAACATTCAGCGGACCACTTGAACTATGAGCCAAGTATAACTAAACTTTGTTTGATCTTACTTTCATGCCAAGACCAAATTCAAGTCTTGGACGTCTCTAATAAAGATTGCTAGAATTATAATTCTGGGAGTCTGTAAAAAGGTATTTTATCCAAAACTTTTGAAGGGATGGATTAAACGCAGAGAAAAATAAATAAATTTAAAGATAAATACAAATTTATTTATGAAAATTAGGTCATATTTACAAATTAATTTAATATTTCAAAATACAATTAATTAATGAAAATACTATTGTGCTAAATAAAAATTCCAGAAAAAATTTATTTATCTTTTAGAAAATAATCCTTCTTCATATCTCTTAATTAGTCTAAGAGCCAAAGCGGAATCTCTCATTTTTGCACCTCTCTCTTGAAAAACATTCCTTGGAATTAATTTTTTAAAAATAATTTTTTAAATTTAATTTACAATGCTTTTTTATTTCTCTCTTTGTCTTGAGAATGTAGGCCTGCACAAACGAGAAATTGGGTGAATATATCTTTCTGAAAAATTTTAAAAATCGGGAAATAAAATTAAAAAATGCCTAAATAAATTTGGAAAATAAAAATTTTCTTAAAAAATTTTGGAAAAAAGTTTATTTTAATCCAATTTTATTTCCAAGACCAGAGATGTCCCCCTCATTTGTCAGTTTAACAAAAACAAAAATGAAAATATCGGTCGGTGGTAGGATAAATGAAAGGTAGTTGTACCCCGTTCCCGAACGACTTTTTCACGATTCCCCCCGACTCGAACCCCGCCCTGAAACAATGTGAAAACCCCGTAACCTGATACATCCGCCTCCGAGCGTTCGGGGTACAACCCTTAATATTAACAACCTTACATAGAAAAGTATTCTTGTCTTTCTGGGATGGGTTTGTCCGATTTGCTTTACTAAAGGTTTTAGTCCAGAAAAAATCCTCTTAACTCAAAAAGGGATAAATATTTTAAAATAATATAAAAAGTATTCAATAGAGGATTAAATTAACTAATAAATAAAATAAAACTTAGAATTTTAGAAAAATAATTTGAAAAGGCTTTAATTGAAAAACTCATTTTCAATAAAAAATGCCCTTTTTTGCTCATAACTTTTGACAAAATTATCAAAAAAATTTAATTTCACTTATTTTTAAATAGAGAATTTAATTCTCTATCGAATGATACCAAAATCCTTCTAAAAAGTTTAGGTTCAGCAGAGTTATAAAGGTTTAAATGGAAGGTTGTTTCATTGGTAAAAGCTATTTCAAGTTAATTAAACCCCCAAAAATTTTTCTAAAAACTCAAAAATTACTTGAGCATGGCTTCCACTAAGTCTACAAAATTGTGATTTGATAGAATACAAATCATCAAATGCTTGGTCATATTTTTCTTTATTAAATAAATTAATTGATGAACACAATTTTTCCCCAAAATCACGCATAATTATTGCATTCTCTCCAATATTTTGTTTATCCCTATTTTTAAATTAAATTTTTAAAGGGCTTGGGCTAGCCTATCTATATTTAAATTTTATTTTCTAATTTTGGGAAAATTTTTAGAAGGTTAAAATTTAACTTTAAAATTAATTATACCTAGTTGGACTTCACTAAGAAATATACCTTTGTAGCTAAAGAGTGTATCTTATAATGAGGTGAACAATAAAGAAGTGCCCTCCCTAGGGTGCTCCTCCCTCCTCACGTGAACAATCGAATATTAAAAACCGTATCTTAAATTGAGGTATAAATTTTCTCATATAGAAAAAAATATAGCCAAAGCTTTCTCATATAGAGATCCTACCGCCCCAAAACTTTTATACAAATTAAAGGTATTAATTGATACAGACCAGACATAGATTATTTCAGGCCCGATTTTTCTGACTTGAGTCATTTTCTGTTTTATTTTGAAGTATGCCCTAGTCGTCTTTCCCGGGACTAGTCTCCAAAGTTTTGGGAGAGGGTTGTCATAAATTAAGAATTCTGAAAATTTACCCCACAAAATTCGATATATTTTTGGCATGTAAATAAGCCAAATTCCCCCTTCCATCAATATCTTCATCATCCAATTTACTCAACACCATAGCTATATGTGCATCATTAAAAGCAATTATTTGATCCCCAATATGTGGCCCAACTAAAGGTATCAATCCTTCCCAACGTTCTCTACCAACATTAATTCTTTCCAATTCAAGTCTTGACAAAAGGGAAGAAGCATCTATTAATTCCATTATTGTAAAGGATTTTTTTGAGGTTTTGGGTGCTAATTTACTCAAAAAATAAAAAATTTTTGGAAATTTTTAAAAATTATTAAACTTGTCATAAATAGTTAAAGCTGTCTCAAAGTCCCCCTTTTCAATGTAAAAGAGGGCATTATGCCTGAAATTTAATTAATTAAGTTCAGAAGTCTCTCTTATATGCAAAAAACTCTTGAGGCATGAAAGGCGTATAGTTAGGAAGCTTTTAAAAACATGTCTTAAATCGAGGTGGATATATTTGAGTATTTATAGAGAGGCTCTGACTGTTCACTTAAAAATTAACACCATATAATAGATACGATTCAGTAAAGTATGAATTTTTATGGACATAACAATAGGTTAAACTCAATAGGTTAAACTCGGTCCTTTTGATTTCCCGATTTTTAAATAACAGTTTCCATTAATAACTAAAAATGTAGTGTTTATCTACTAGATTAACCAGGTTGTAGAGAACTCAATTGTTAATAATATTTACCAGTAATTATGCCCATGGAGCAGCTTACACTGCTAAAAATAATATTCTAAATTTATTTTTGAATATTTTCTGTCAAAACATACACTCCAATCATTCTCTGTGGATTCCAAAAAATTAATTCCATTTTTGAAATCGCTAGCCATTTCCCTACAGTGAGCTATAGCATGGGTAGACCAGCCATCTTGACGTTGTAATTGTAGGCCTATTCTTGCTTGTTTTTCTGCTTCGATATATTCCCCGGATTCTTCTAATCCATAAGCATACATCCCGTGTAGATAACTTTAAACGATACCGTATTTCCTTTAATGACTACCCTAGGTAATTATTTTTCGACACCCCACTCAATTAATTGAGGAAGGGAAATTGGATGTGTTGGCAAAAAATTTTATGAAGGTTATTATTGTCACATTTCAAGCTATCACTAGAGTAAGATTGTCGAATTCGGATACCCAGTCTCGAAAAAAGATTGCACCTCAGAAAATTTTGGCTAGAATTTTCGGATCCGGATATCCAAAGTGTTCCCAAGACCGAAACCTTAAACTAAAAGGTGCAATCAACATATTGGGGCAATTATTTGAGAAACAGTTTAATATAGGTAGGCTATACGGTACGTAATATTTACAATTTTCGAAATTTGACATTTTATAAAGTGGCAATACGAAAATATCCTCACCTATAACCAGGATATCTCTCTTTATCCCATTTATCAATCACTCTCGCAATACTGTCTCTCATAGCTGAATAAATAAATTCGAGTTTAAAATTAAAAAAAAAACAAAACCCAAATGCTCTCCAATATAAAAATATCCAGTATGAGCAAATTTAAGTGCCATTAAATCGTTGGGATATTCTACAAGTATATCTTCCCATTCATTACAAGCTCTGTGCATTTCGCTGTGAAAAATTTATTTTTTAAACTAGGGTAGCACCCCGAGCCTTCGTGGGCAGGATCGTCGGGGATCGGGGTTTGCTTGAGTAAAGCCTTAGAGGTCCGGGTCTGGTTTTTGCTAAAAAATAGTCGGGACGGGGTTTTGGGGTCGGGTAGGGGGTTTTGCCTGTATGGGGGTGGGCGTCGGGGTAGAGGGGGGAGGGCTGGGTTGTTCGTACGGGGGTGAGTCCCGGAGTAGTCTTCTGGGTTCGGGTCGGGTCGGGGTTCGGGGGACGGGGTTCCATCCTATTTTAATCTAATACTTGGTCATTTTGAGGGTTGGAAATTTTGCAATTATCAAATTATTTTCCAACCTATCAGCAAAAAGTTGAACAGCATAAGCATGTTTTCTCTCCCTTTCATTCCCCCTTAAATTAGCATCCTTAACTAAATCTGCCAATTCTTGTTCAAAAGTAGGATCAGAACGTTTAGATCGCCCACTACTTAAAGTATCCAATCCAAGCTTTAATGTTTTGCCTAATACTGAAAAATTTTAGAAATTTATTTATAGGCTTTGAAGGGTAATGCTTGTTTTTCTCTTCCTTTGTGGATTACATCAATAAAGGAATAAAAGTTTGAGGTATAAAAAATTGATAGTGAAGTTAGTTAACACATGGAAATCAAAGCTTTAGCATAAAAATATTTAGACGCTGAGAGTCATACTAAAATATTTTCCCTATTTAAATCTCAGCACTGTAGTTTGGTTGCCTGGAATAAGGTTGTCGGATAGTTGGGAATCTTCGGATATCCGGATCGGAACTGAAAATTTCGGATATCCGGCCTTTTTTCGGAACCGGATCCGATAGCCTTAGCCTGGAAGAGTTAACACAAACAATACAAAGAGAGGACGGTTTAAAAAAGCTAAATGGCAACATGCTTCAGCTTTTAATAATTCTTTTTTAACTGCTTTTAATGCAAGGGAATTTTGGAGGAAAAAAGGAAAGGAATACCTTTCATTTTAATTTTTAAACAAAGTTTTCTCTCTTTAATTAAAATTAAAAATTACAAAAATCAGGTTCCGATTTATTCATTTTCTCTATAGTGCCTAAAATACCACCAATTTGTTCACATTCAAACCAAGAAATTAATTGTCTCAATGCCGAATCAAAAAGTTTGGAAGTTTCATCACTGTAAACATTTAAAGGCAACCTTTCTTTTAACCAGGCCTTAAATGGGGAATTAAACATATGTTGGGTTTTAAGGTTATAACTCTAGAAATTCTTAACCGATTTAAATAAATTTTATATAGTTCGATAGATAATTGAATTTTCTACAAAATAAAATTTAAATGAGAATTTTTGATTAATTAGAAAAAAAGTTGTAGTCAAAAAACCAACATATTTAAGTGAAGAATGTTAATTTGTCGTAGTTTTTCCAGCATAACTTTTTTGAAATTTTAGCTAGAAAAATAATTTTTTGTAATTTTGTAGCAAATTTAATTCTCTATCGAATGGTATATAAATAATTTTGAAAGGATTATTATTCATAAAGTTATGAATTTAAATGTAGATCATGGTAGTGCTTTATAGAAAGCCTTAAGGGCTATTTACTAGTGCTTTACCGGAACCGGAAAAATTCCGTCATAAGTCCCGGAAACCGATTCAAACAAACAATATGTCATTTGAAAGAGCTCGGCGAGCTGAGTCGAATGACACAAAATTAGGTCCCGGTCTCACCCATGGACCGAGATATAGGCCCCCGAAAATCGAAAAACCATAGGGGGACCAAGCACTTTTTTGTGGTGAAAAATTCTAATATACAAATAATAGCTCATTTGAAAGAGCTCTTTAAGCTGAGTCGAATGGCACCAAAATCGCCGTGATTGGTCAAGTTTTTTCGAAGTTATGACAAAAAAAAACAAACAACATAAACCTATGGGGCGGCGGCGAGGCGCTTGTGCAAAACTCCGCGCTTCGCGCGGAGTTTTGCGGTACGCGCCTCGCGGGGAGTCTACGGGCGCTGGGTCTGGGCTCGTAACTTAATCCTATTCCAATTATCGCTGTGATGGTCATGCCCGGCTTCCTCCGCAGCAGCATAACATCCACGGAGAACAAAGGTAAGGAGCTAAAACAAACGATCATAACTTTGTTAAATCAAATCAGATTTCGTTGATTTTGGTGTCATTCGACTCAGCTCGAGGAGCTCTTTCGAATGAGGTATAATTTGCATTTTCGAATTTTTCACCCCAAAAAAGTGCTTGGCCCCCCTATGGTTTTTCGATTTTCGGGGGCCTATATCTCGGTCCATAAGTGAGACCGGGACCTAATTTTGATGTCATTCGACTCAGCTCGCCTAGCTCTTTCAAATGACATATTGTTTGTCTGAATCGGTTTCCGGGACGTATGACGGAATTTTACCCCGGAACCGATATTTTGACCGGAACCGAATCCAATTTGAGTTCCGTTATCTGTTCCAGACCAAAAGACAACGGAACTTCAGGTGAAATTCTTCTATTTACCTCTTTGCCTCGTAAATTTTCTAAACAAAAATTTTCCATTGGAAATTTTGAATTAAATTGAGAGAAATTTTTTTAATTTTTAAAAAATAAAAATAAAAAATTAGTAAATAAATTTAAAAAAATAATAATTTTGTTGCTTTATAGAGAAGAATCAATAAAAATATTAAATAAAAATAAGGGAAAGTGAAAATAATAAAAATAATCCTCAACATTTAAGAGGAATAAATTGCTAAAATAAACAAAATTTAAAAAATAGCAATTAAGGGGTTTTAAATTTTAATTAAAAAATATTAATTTCATGATTTTATTTGTTTAAAATGTCTGAAAAATGTTGGGCCAAATAATAAAAATTTGAAATTAATTTTTAAATTAATTGTTAATAATAGAGGAAATATTCGTTAGAGTTCGAACTTTTCACTTTGCCGGGCCCGTATCCGGGCTTTTTTCTTCATAGTCGACCCGGGCGGGTTTTCGGGGCTAATCCCAGAAAATTTATCGAAAATATGAGTTCACCCCTCAATATTTACTCACACCCTGAATAACGGAGAATTTGAAGGGATATCGGAGATATAAAGGGGTTTAAACGGATTAATCTTTAATTTTTTAAAATATTCTTCTCTTATTCTAAAATTCGATAGATGAATTGACGGAAGGAAAATTTGTGCGTCTTATCTTTTTTGGAACTGTATTTTGCCCTATTTCCCAACATATTATTCAAATATTTTCCTTAGACCATCTTTCAATTTTTCTTCCTTTGAAGGTTTATTTGTGCCCTTCAAACCTACCTTTCCATCATCTATTATTTTTAAACTTTCCGTCTCAGGAGGAAAACACTCCCCAGGTTTTGGGTCGTTCTGTCCTTGTAAGGCGTTCATTCTCTTAGTATAGGCAGAATTTTTAGCTTTATTCCCTTACTAAATAAATAATAAAGGTTTAGTGGAAGCATTATAGGTCATTTTATATTTAGGGTCATTTTATACCTGTTAGACAAGTCAGGGCAGGAATTCTCTAATTTTTGAAGTATGTCTGATTTTTGTTAAGCTCGCTTGAGACTTTGTGAAGCTTTTTTCTAATTTGATAGAAAATGTTTAAGCTTTTAAAATTTTTAATTTTATTTCTTGAAGCATGCTTCAACTTGACCCTAAGCTTGCATTTTTCAAGTCCCACAAATTCCTCTCTTAATTTTAGGCCATATTAACATGAAAAGTCCAAAATGTAAAAATTGTGGAGCTGAGCATGCTTCTTTATACCGACGTGATCAGACAAATGGGGATTGTTATTGTAATGCTTGTGGCCTCTATCGAAAACTTCATGGAATGAATAAGTGTATAATTAATTTATTAGCAATAATGCCTTCTTTTTAAACAGACCGATTGTGAATCTTGTAAAAAAGCCAGGTTAGAAAATATTGTACTTTTGGAATATCCCCTCCTTTACTTGAGTTTCAGAGGCTTCCTTACGAGAAGGTTGAAAAATAGAAGACACATATGTCCTCTATTAGAAGTTTTACTTTTGTCAGCTTCACGAAAGACTCAGTACCTTAGGGAGATCGAGGTTTTTGAAAACCTGGGCCTGTTCAGGGTTTGATTTATTGTCATGGGCCGGACCCTGGGCCTGTAATACAGTAAAACCGGGGAAGGTCAGAAGATATTAAGTCAGAAATATATCAGAAGATATATTGACTCTGGGTACAGAAAAAACCCAGCTCGATCTCTAGACATGCTCAAATAATTAATCTTCCTTTCTTAAATTGTTTAATAATTACCACATTCAGCGAGGTGTTGAAACAATAATTACGCATGGTAACTATTTGGGCATAGGTAAATTTTGTAATAAGAAAAAAGCTTCAGTGTATTTGTTTTGCGTGAGACAAGTTTCAGACTTTGTTAAACTTGTTTCTGATTTGATAAAAAATGAGTTAGCCTTCAAGTAAAGTGTTTTTTATTTTTTAAACATACTTTAAATTATATAAAGAACATGGGTCTTTCAATAAAATCCCCATAAATGTTAATAAAATTTTCGGAATCTTAGGTCATATTGACATGAATAAACCTCATTGTATAGATTGTGGAACTACGGAAACTGCTATATGGCGACCTGCAAGTGTTGATTATTTTTGTAATGATTGTAGTGTCCATCAAGGTGGACATGAGGGAGAAAATAGGTGGAATTTAATTAAATTAAATTATAATCAACAAATTCCTTTTTTTAAACAGACCGATTGAGAAGCCTGAAAAAAAGACAGGTTGGAAAATATTGTACTTTTGGGATATCCACCCTCCCTTCCTTGAGTTTTAGGGGCTTCCTTACGAGAAGGTTGAATAATAGAAGACATGGTATGTGTCTCTATTAGAAGTTTTAATTTTGTATATATTTTATATTATGGAACTGATCTTTCTGTCATAGTTTAAGAAAATAGGGTTGTCGGTTTCACCAGATTCATCGGTTAACCGAAACCCAACCGACAAATCTTCGGTTTTTCGGTTCGGGTTGAAACCGACAACGCTATGCTCAAATAAATAATCCTTTCTAAAATTGTTTAATAACACCTTTAATGAGGTGTTGAAACAATATTTACGTACTGTAATTATTTCGTCATGGGTAAATTTTGTAATACACTCCCATGACCATGCTCTAGATTCAGTGTATGAGTTTTGGGAGAGACAAGTTTCAGACTTTGTTAAATTTGTTTCTGAGTTGATAAAAATGTGGTAGCCTCTCAATGATTTTTAAACATACTTTAAATTGTCTAAAAATCTCCATAATTGTTAACAAAATTTTCGGAACCTTAGGCAATATTGACATGAATACCCGTCAATGTAAAAATTGTGGAACTACGTCAACTACTTTATGGCGACGTGAACATAAAAGTGGGGATTATTTATGTAATGATTGTGGTGTCTATCAAAGAGAACATGGGGGAGAAAATAGGTGGAATTTAATTAAATTTAATTATAATCAACAAATTCCTTTTTTCAAAACAGACCGATTGAGAAGGCTCAGAAACGACAGGTTAGAAAATATAAGAATAAGGCTGGAAAAAAATTTGAAATATTTAAAAATATTGAAAAATCAGAATTTTATTAAAATAAAAAAATAAAAATCAGTAGTATTTAAAATTCCTTATTAGACACAGTGATATTCGAAGTGAAAAAAAAAGTCTTGGGTGGCTTTCGAAAGTTTCTTTGATTAGTTGTTTAGGGTCGAAAAAGTTCTGGGTATAGGGTTTCATATAACCCGTGACATCCCTGATTAGATTTGCTTATAATAAAAATCAGAATTTTTAATTAAAATTCTGATAAAGCTGACTAAAACTTTCTGAATTTTATTAAAAATCAGTTTTTTTTTAAAAATTTTAATTTGAGTAATAATTAGGGTTGTTTGCGACCGGTTTTAAAACCGGAATTTTTGAAATTATTTGCCAAAAATTAACCGTTTTTAGAAAATTTTAAAAATGAAAACCTGAAATTTGTAAAAAGGAGTGATTTTATTTGAAATTCCCCCAAAAATAAACCGGTATTTGCCTAAAACTCAAAACCGAAAACCGGGTTGCTAAAATTTAGTTCAACCGAAAACCGGGGGTATCGGTTAATAACCGGTCGCCAACAACCCTAGTAATAATGTTTAACAAAATTTAAGTAAGCTTTGTATTTTATAAACAATCCCCTGCCTACTTTAAATTATACAAAAATTTATTTTACTTCAAGATGGACAATTCTGACGTTAAAATTGACATTCCTCAAGTTTATTAAAATTATTTAAATAAAAAATTTGATTAATTTAAAGTATAAAGATGTCTATATAACGGAAAAGGGTGGAGAGTTGCCAAAACTTATACCAACTGAAGAAGATGGTTCGTTGGCTTTGGATACAGTTGCTGTTAGCTTTCCTGGAGTTATCGGTTTGGGATATAAATGTACGGAAACTGGACTATTTCGACAACTTTTGTAAATTTTTTCTAAGATTTTTTAGGATTTATGTGTCTTTTTGAATTTTTCTTGATTTTTTGATGAAGTTTGGGTCGTTAACTAGTGTTCTTCAAATTGCTTTTTTAGGTACTTTCCGGGGTTTTTTAACGAAAATTCAGATATAGACAAGTACTGCTACTGGTAATTCCGGAAAGTACCCGTTAAAGTAATTCCGTTACCGTACTGCTGTAGTAACGAACCATTACAAACTCTAGTCTTAAACCTATAAAACTCTAGTCTAACTAATCTGAAAATTTTTAGCAATAACCTTAATATTGTAAAAAAAATTTTTTTAAATTTAAAGCATGAATCCGGATGAAACATTCTCTGAACCTGTGGATGGGTGGGAAAATAAAAGTTAGAAAAACATTTATTTTTGCTGGTTTAAAAAATATTTTTTAGCATTTATTGCGATATGCAAGAAGAATGATGCTGTCTTGAAAATTGGTGAAATTAAAAATAAGATTTTCATAGGAAAATTTTTTATATACCCCGAATTTGAATAATTCTGTCAATTTCTCAGATATCTCTCTCGATATTCTCAACCCAGAATCTTTCTGGCCGGGGAATTATCGAGTCGATTTATATGAACCTGACATTGGTCCTATAGTCAGCTAAAATCCTGGAAAAGCTCAGAGGGATACAATAATCCTTTAGCCTTGTTCTAGGTTCAGGAAAAACATAGGCCATTACCCAAATTTTTTATAAAATTTTTAATTTTCATAATCTCGATAAAGGGATTTTAAACAAACTTATCTGTCCTTACTTTTAATATACATAGTACATAAATATCCAAAAAACACTTTACTTTATAGAACTTGATGAACTTAAAGAGGATTTTATTGGATTTAAAAGTGATTTTAATTCACGTTTGGAAAGTGAAATAAAAGCATCGGAACGTCGGATTAAAAATGATATACTTAGGGTAATCTTTAATGAAAATTATATTACCGTATTTCCTCTAATTGAGCGGCCCGTTTAGAAGGGATTGAATAATAGAGGGATGGACCAAAAAGGGATGAGATTGATAAGATATCTGAATAAGAACGGTATCTTAAGCGATTATTCTTCGTAATTTTGTTTTTTTTATTGAATAGAGAAATTTTTTTCCCCGAATATTTTGTAAATAGAGCGGCAATATCTCTATTTGAACGGCAATCTCCAAAAGAGAGGCCCTCTGAGAGGGGATTGAAAAATATAGAGGCAGCCTCTCAATCAGATGAAATACGGTAATGTACTTGGACCCTTGTCCTTATCTTAATGAATTTATATTTTTAAAGGCTGTTCAAATTTCCGTATTGGTTCTTCAAGCGGTATTGGTTGGTTGGAATATAATATTATTCTTGTTTTGAATAATTTACGTCTGTTTGGATTTCCATATGTTGGACTTTTTTTCTATTTTTAATTAAAAAGATTTTTTTTGTTTCGGTACAGCTCTGTTAAGAATTTAATACGAATAAAATTGGATAATTAACATAACTAAATTTTTGTAAATCAACTATTATTCACACTTATTAGTAATTTTTTAATTATAATAAAGTTAACTTGATATTTAGGTTGTAAACTAAGTTCTAAGCCCCCTTGATTAAAACGGATTAGATAATTATTAAAATTCAACAAAACGTTATCAGAATTAGTTTTGTTTTTCTTTAGGATCCTAAAAGAGTTTCCTATTTTCTGACAAAAAATCAGGATCATAGGATAATTAGTTATTAAAGTATTTTATCGATGAGCTTGTTACAAGTTCATTCCGCAGACAGAACACGGAACACTCATGCCACACAGATACGATCATTGGTACTTGTGGGTTATCCCCCGGACTTTTTTGCAGACACAATTGTACAAAATGGTAAGAGTTTCTCTTCCCTCGCTAAGGATTAAATTTGATGTGTACATTTATTTTAAAAGAAAATTATGCCTTTATGTGAATAAAAAGCATCGTGGCACAGCACGTCATCATTTGGAGAGTTATTTTGCCGAGTTTATGTGGTACTCATCAAATTTAATCCTTAGCGAGGGAAGAGAAACTCTTACCATTTTGTACAATTGTGTCTGCAAAAAAGTCCGGGGGATAACCCACAAGTACCCGATCATTAATTTTGGTCATGGCAAGTACGAGTATGTATGAGTCAAATTATGGTATGAGACTAATTCTATCGCGACTTACATTAGCCGCTAAATATATAAATTTTTGCGGCTCATTTTAAAACGATTCATTGAAAATTACAATTAATCACTTTGTTTTTCAAGTACAAAAACAAAATGTGTAAAATTAAATAAGGGATTATGATCATCTTCAAACGTCTTAATCTCCATTTCTATTGGCTTGGATTTCAGATAGAATACATTCAATAGTTCAAATCCTGAAATAAACAATTATTTTCTCATTCAATGTAAAAAAAGTAAAAACGGCCTGGTTGTATTTTAATAATGTGATTTATGGCCATGGTGGTATAACTAGGGCCCGGATTTGTATTGAAATATATTTTTTCCTGAATATATTATGCCACCGAGCTTGTGCTGATCACTTACACTTTAAGATATAGGTACTTTTAAATTTGTGAGCATTAATAGTTTTTTAAAAACAATTATTTACTGCCTAAATCACTCATAATCTGATGATACTCAAATTGTTTTTATGTGGAAAATATTTTTTTAAAAAACGTTTACTGCCCAAATCACTCACTGCCCATTTAACCACTGCCTACGTCACTTCTGCCGAAATCACACAGCACCATTAAAAATACGTTACTTTAAAAATACCTGCAAACATTAGAGGTAATCTTATTCTTCCATAAGTTCTATGACAATTATAACCAACATTGTCCTGTCCAACAGGGACTCCAAGGAAGAAAATCCCTCGTGGCTTTAATATACATCGCAATTTCTGCATTTCCATAATATCACCCATCGGATTAATAGGGTCACCATAACGGCCTAGACCAGAATGCTCAATGCTGGAAAAACTGACAATAAAGTCGAAGCTATCAAAAAATCTGAAAATTTACACTTATCATAAATTTATTAAGAAATTTAAATTTTTTGTGAATTCATAAATTTTGGCACGAGAGATGTTATTTGTACAAGGTAAGGTTGTTCCGGCAACGCGAGGATGTTGTTCCAACAGATGGGAAATGTTTGAATATTTAGGAAAATTGTTCCAAGAAGGTGGAAGTTTGCTCCATGAAGGGGTGTATTTTCAACAAAAAAAGTTCCAAAGATTGTACAAGTGTAGGAAGATTACCCCTATTTGATCACCTGTCAATCAAACCTGACACTAGAGGGGTTATTTTTCTTTTGATATTTGCCGGAAACCCTTCCCTTTAGGAAGGGTTAATCATGATTAATTTGTGTCACTAAAAGTGACACAAAAGGGACGGTGTAACTAATGTTGGTCGATCTATTATTTCGATATTTAATTTTTTCAATCGATATTTTTTCGATAAATATCGAAAAAATTAACGAAAATAAGGATAAGTATAAATAAAATCGTATTGTTCCAGACTATAATTATTAAACCCTCGTCGTTATTTAAATAAAACCTAGGCAAATCTCGGATAAATCCTTGGGATGTAAATAACCCCAAACTCACAATTCTCTTGCCTTAACAAGATCAAAAGCATCTAGAAACATAATAGAATCATGTCCTATTTTAATATGTTGATAGTCAATAGTAACGATTTTACTTGCACCATTTGCTAAACACATGCTTTCAACCCAGGGTTTAATCGAGCCGATAACTGCACCTTTCTTTCCAACTATATTGTAATGTTTTGTAGCATAAAACACAGAAGCTATAAAATATCTAAATATTGAGCAATAAACTTAATTTATACTACTATATACTCAGTTTCAAAATTATAACACACCTTGCTTTTTGGCGTTACTCTTAGTTACAGTGGGCCAATCGAGGCGAATTTTTTCCCAGTATTTACCAGTATATTTAATGGTGCTCTACGTGAGTCCATGACAATTGCTTCTGCCTGTATGAATTTTATCAAAAATTTGGGAGTGTATGTGGAAGTTTACTGGGAGTGTGAGATACAAAATATGAAATCAAAAGATTCTGAAATGAGAAAGATGTTTAGCAGCCTGAGAAAGAGTTTGAGATGGCAAGTCCTTCTGCATACCATACAAGGCAAACGTAATATTAATGGGTATCCCGTTAAACATTTTTTCGCTGTTATAGTAGTAATTTCTAATTATTTTTATAATTATTATATTAATTTATTTTTAATACGGTATCACGAGTTATACGCCGAGAAAATTCACGCCGCGACTTTAGCGCCGGGACTTTTGCGTCGGGTGACTTATGCACCGCGACATTTGCGCCGCCATTATGTAAACTACTAAGCAGTAGCCCTTAATATATTATTATACCTGAATCAGTATATTGCTTATCAGAACGTTCTGTATATTTCCCCTCCTTTATCTCTTTAACCCAACCATCAATATTTTCTTGGCTCCATATGTTTGTTGCTTCGATTTTGTCAACATTCGGTTTTTCGTTATTATAAGATTCATTGTAAAAGTAGCATTGACTCAATGAAATATAACCATTTAATGTATAATTGTTGTGTAATAACACTTGTACATTATCTAATGGTTTAATAGTTGCTTTAGATGCATTTAGCCAGTTGGAATAAATCTGAAATAACTAGCTGATTATCTAAAAGAATGGCTGCTAAACAGGGTCTTGGACCTATTTAATATTTTTTAGCATCTTATTAATCACCTGATATGCCGATAACCCATTTAATCCAGTTATATCTACTTAATTGTTCAAAATTTATATCAAAAATTATATAACGCTTGATTAATCAAGTTCCATAATTTGTCTTGATTTCCTACATATATCACCCTAAATTCATCGACTCCCGATATCGACCTAAACTCACGATATCCACCTAAATCCTTCTTAATCCTGGTAGAATTGTCATTCACTTAACGAAAGGTTGTGCACTATAGGTTGTCTGTTAGAATCAGAAAGCCAACCCGTAATTCGGCGGAATGAAAAAATAAATTTGAAAAATTTTCTTGAAAAAATTTTGTGAACAAATTTAAAAAATATAAGCCCAGATTATATAGAAGCCTACCCATAATATAGCCCAGTCAAGTTGATCTACTCCTATAAGCACAGGGCATAATATAAGTATTTACGGTAAATTAAATTACCTGATTGCATGATTGTTGTACATGTAAACGTAATTTCGGTATAACATTTCCAAAATCTTCAACCGTAAAACCATTTGGTTTGTAGACGTTTTCTAAAATTTCTGCGAAACTCACATATCCTTTTGCAGTTTTTATTTTCATTTCTTCTTTAAAATCATCATTTCTTTTATTAATATGCATTTTCATTTCCTTATTATTGTTCGAAATTCTATATTTGATAATTATGAGTAATGTTAAAATGACGCTGCCTAAATATTAGTATAAATTAAAATAGCGAGAGGTTAATGCCTCGCGGATACCGAGCTTCTCGCCCATGTTCAAATCCCTATCTCGTTTCGGCGGTCCTCGTCCCAGTCCTCACCAAAATCCTCGCCGAGGAGTTGTTGTTCGAAAATCTATATTTGATACACAGAATGGAATTTGTACACCTAAGAATGGAATTGTACACCCTAAGAACGGAATTTGCCTTTTGTTTAGTCGAGGGAGTAAACTGGTCAAATTGTTTACTATTCGATTGGCCTTGGCGAGCTGAGTCGAAAGGTACATCTCACTTGGTGCGGAAATGCTAATTAACTGAGAATAGGTCCTCGAAAATAAGAAAACCATAGGGGAGTAAGCTCAATTTTCGTGTAAAAATTCGAATAGACTGAAATTCGAATAGACCCTCTACTTAGGGTGTCGGTTACGGATAGATATCACTGATTTTTTAAAACCAGAACTGAAAACGATTACTATGCCCGTTTATGCGTTCTTAACAGAAATATGTTGAAACAGAACATACCTATAATTAAGAATCCTTTCCTAAAATTAGTTCTTTTCACAGATACATTTAAAAGATTATAATTTGACATATTTATTAAAATTAGTATATTTTTAATAAAAGAGTTGCGATTCCGAAATTAAAAATATTATTTCCAAACTAGATAAAAAAAAAAGATAAATTTTAAATGAAGTACATATGTTTTTTAAAGATATATTGGTTTGATAGGTTTTTATAAATATCCCACCCCCACCCCTATTACTCTAAATTAATTTACACTTTTTACTGCAATCATTAAGGTTGGGAAAAATATGCGCCAAATAATAGATAGCACCGAACAAAGCGAAAGCATGCACCAAACTATGCAAAATTTACCAAAATATTCGCTAAATATGCATCGAAAAGTTAGTTAGATAAAATTTTCTTTTTTACACTTTATTCATAGAAAATGTGATATGATCAATATAATATCTAATGGAATTTTGATGATCTCGTTGGATTCGCGCGACTCCGTACCCCTGCGACTCCGTACCCATACCAAGACCTTGCCTTGAGTTTATCCCCCGATATAAAATTTTTGATTTTTTTCAAGACAATTAGTTTGGAGTAATTATGGAGAGCAAAATATCTCTACATGATTATGTAAGAATTCGATGAAATTTACTTTATTATCTGCAAACCTAATCTCTCTATAAATTGTAATATATTAAATGATTAATTGAAATTTTTGTGAAAATTTTGCCAAAATTGTATACACGTTTTATTAAAAAACTTGTTCAATTAAGTATACTCTTAAGAGTTAAAACTAAAATAAAATTGAGCCAAACAGTAACATACATAGAAATATTTTATGAAATATAATTTTATGATTAATTAATAATAAAAATTCACGTTAGTTTTATGTAAATGGACAAATTTTTTAAAAAACTAGTTGTAATCTAATAAAATTTATTTAATATGCCCATATATAAACTGAAATACTTGTCTATATTTTAGTAAAATAATAATTTTAATTTTATTTATCTCATGTATTTATAATCAATTTAAAGATCAGAATAAGCTTGATGATATTATTATTGATGTGAAAAAAATATGGGACGGCAATTATGTGATTGTTTTTACTTGAATCATCATGCACTTAAAAACATTGCATCAGATAATGGAGATATGATATTTTCTGTTAAGCAGAAATTAGAAGAAATTAAAAATAAATTTAATAAATCAAATTTTAATAGTAGATTGTAAAACTTCAACAAATAAGTGTGACCATTGGTACTATGATGCATAACCCCATAACGGTCCCGATCAACCACAGTTATCTATACCAACATTGGATGATTTGTTTACTTATTTAATGGAAGCAGAAGTTGAAATGATTGTATTAATTTCTAAATTAGAAAAAAATGAAATTTAATTTAATATTTAAAACATTGTAAAAATAATATGTATATGAGTTGCTCAAGTTGAATAAACATTGTTGATTAAAATATATATTAAAAATATTCGGTTCTGGTTTATTATTTTTATTTTGATGTAAAGATAATAAAATTTGTGTAATTAGTTAATAACATTAGATCGAGCTCAAATTTTTGAATCAATTTTCATATTATTCATAATAATATATTTAACCATGAAAAATACTGGATTCAAGGGTATTTAGTTAAGAAAATTAAAAAAGAAGAGATTTATTTAAAAATATCTTTAGCATTAACATTCACTATTTTTCCAACATTTAGCCAAATTTGCAAAAATAAAAGCGATTTTTAAGATTTTTAAAAAAACCTAAAATAGGTTCAAAAAAGGCCGAAATAGATTGTAAATAAGTTTTAGGACTCCTAAGGTCGAAAATACAAGTGGCTGTATAGTTATGTGGAGGTAATTTTGTCAGGTAAAGTGAAAAATAACTGAATAAAACTTAATAATTTCTGAAAAAGCATAATAATCGGTCCATTTGCTGCTTGTCTATTATATTTAAGTGTAAAAATTTCCAAATACATATTTAAGAAGGAAAAATTTCGAAAAATAGGGTGGCTGTATAGTTATGTGGAGGACTGTATGACAAAAGATGAGTACTTTTTATTAAAAATTGTCATAAATTTATTCTTATCAGAAGACTTATACGAACCAAAAAACAAAAATAATAGTTCTAGTTCGATTTTTATAGTTCGAACTTTATGAATACAAAAATAATAGCTTTTTAAAATAAAAACAATGAAAATTAATCTACAAAAATTTAATTACAATTCGTTTATTTCCATTTTACTTTCTCATAAGCCTTTATGTGCTTCCCTTTTAACCAGATATCTGCCCAATTATCAATACAAACATCTGGACCCTTCCAATAATTCCATATATTACTGATCATATACTTTTTGTGTTTTCGATGTTGTTTGTGTAATAATTCACAAAGATTGCAAAGTGGATTGTATGAGGGTGCATCACTTCCATTTATAACATTAATATACGATTGACGACTTAATGGACTATATTTGTAGTAATTCATGCGATAGGTTGTTTTTCTGTATGTCTTTGTCCATTCAAAATATCTGCAAATTTAATAGAAATTTAATTACTCTTTAAATTTAAAAATACGCTGATATCCCTTAATCCCCCGTTTTCTCTACAGCCTTCTATTTATCACTACAAATCCCCCAATAACCCTTAAAATCCCCCTTCTAAATCCACCGATATCGTTTTATACTCTAAATCCATCGAATCCCCCATAACCCCTCTTGATTCCTTGATATCACATCCAAATCACTCAACACTTCCTTTATGTTGTAAACACTGGTCTCTTCTTTTTTCAGCGAAAATTTTGAGAATTTTGTAAGTCAAAGAGCCAGATTTCTTTCTTTTTAGTAACCGAACTAAATATTTCAGTTATCCTGAACTGGAACAGGTAACCAACTTAAAATTTTCGTTCCCCCGGTCTTTTTCGGTTCCTGATTTTACCATTATGTATGTGTTTTTTGCCCTTTTTGACATTTATGTATGTTGTCGATTAATTCCCCTGGGGAATTAATAATTCACCCATACGTGGGATGGAGAATTATTCGAGTTTTGGCATTTGGTATTTGGGGGTGGGGAATTATTGTTTCAACCTAACTCTAGCATGGTTAATTAATCGAGAGAGGGAGTTATTCGAGGGAGGGGAATTAATCGAGAAAATACATTATGTTGTCAAGTGTGTGCACGAAAATCTCTATTATCAATTCAACATCAATGGATTCATTAAAAATATCTAGAAATACCTATACATACTTCATATATGCTGTTCTATTTTTTTGTAAATAAAGTAAATGTTCTGCTAATTCCTCCACATTGTTGAAATCATCTACAGCAATATATACATTGTCTGGTATTTTTGTTTTCTTAAAAACACGACGACTAAGTACTATAGGCACAATTAAATGTTTCAAATACCAAAATTTTTCTGTAATGTAATTCTTACAAACTGAATTTTCGAATGCCAAATAGAACATATGACTTGCTTAAAGTTGAAAGTTTATGATAAATTTTTCTACCATCCCAAACATCAAAAATTATCAGGACTGAGAAGGTATAGTAAACGCCTAGGGACCAAATTCAAAGTTTCAGCCTAATAGCTTAGTTCCAACAATTAAATTCCAAACAATTAAATAATATTTATTTTCCAAATTAAATTAATCCAACAATAAATAATAAAGCGAACCAACAATAATAAGCCAAAGCAATAGGTAAGAGCCAACCAAAGAACCAAGAAATAGAACCAAACAGAACAGAGTAGAGCTGATTAGAAAGCTAGGCTAGCCAGCTAATGTGGGTTTTGGAGGGAAGATTATATAGGCCAGGAAAATAGGCGGGTGAACAAAGTTAAAAGTAAACACATTCCAAAAGTGGGCAAAAAAGTAGAAATTAGTGAATAGCGGCTTAAACTTGGGTAATTAAAAATAGATGCGCTTAAAGAAACAAAAGAAAGCTAATTTGAAAGGTTAGAAATAGAAAAAATTTCTTAAACATAAAAGAATTTCCTAGACAGCAGGTGCGGTTAAAAATAATTTAGATTTAGAAAAAACAAAGATTGGAATTTAAAGAAAAATAAATTTTAGAAAAAATAAACTTAAAAAATTAAATTCTAATTGTCGCCTTTCGCGACATTCCCGGGCCCCCAATTGTTTTCTTTCTTCTATTGTTTCTTTCTGTCATCTCGGATCATCATAGCATCAGATTGTCTCGCGCGCCATAAAGTGAGTCTGGCAGGTTGATTGAAGACGTAGTGCATTCCGGTTCGTCCTTTATGGCAACAGTGTGTGAAGCGTTCACGCGTGGAGCTTTCTCTTTTATTTCGACTTTTTCCTCTGGTGCGCGCCCTTGTGTAAGCAGTCTTCCTTTTCGTCCGTCTCCAGCATTGGCATCCCATCCTTCCAATAGCCACAATCATTCGAAAGTTTTCACGACAAGATCGCCAAAGAGTAAGTACAGAACGGAGTCCAAAAAATGCGGTCAGAGCAACAAGTGTCCAAAGAAAAGCAAGGCTAGGATTGCACGAGGGGTTCACTAGCAGGTCAACACAAAATGTACAGTCCATTAATAAGCATTCATTTAAAGCTGGGCAGGTCATCTCTGTCGAAAACATTTCTCGTGAACTTTTCCAAAATTTGGCCACAGAATGATAATCTGTCCAAAGCATCTCAGTGGGTGATTCAACACAACATTTTTCCATTTCTCGGTTTCCAATTAGAGCTAAGACCATTACTCCTATCAGTGTACAATGAATTAAGCAAATAGAGCACGATTTAATTGCCATTGTGATATTTAGCAGACAGACAAGAAAGAGTGCCACCAATGTACTTGCTGCTAGTTTAGCTTTAGCCCACGTGACCATAGGATACGGTTTTACAGCTTGTTTCTTATCGGCTGAGTTCCAATTGAAAGAAATGGTTTCATGTGGTACCATAACATCATTGGGCCTTAAGGGCAGCGGCGCGTCAGCTTCCCCCGAGATTTTTGTGATTGGACATTGATTTAGGTTAGCTTCAACCTTAGCATGATTTTGCACGGAAGACTCCATACTCCAGAAATCCTCAACACCGTCAGGCGTTGGAAGATGTTCATTGTTACTCGCATGTACTGCTACCAGAGACATAGATTTCTTGTTCGAATTGTGTCCAAAATTAGTTTCGCCAGCGGTCATTGTTCCAAAAACGGTTTGAATAGAGTACAGGCCTGGTAAGATTTCCTTCTCTTTTGATATAAAGAATTTCCAGAATTGTTTAATTCCAATCATGATATCTGGTTTTTCTCTCACAATTTCCAAGCTATCAACTCCAGTGCGATTGTAAAAGTATTCATCAAAATTTATCATGTCAAAGGGAGTGGCAATTTCTTCGGTACAATTTAAGGCAATTTCTTCCCAGTTTCCATCAGTTCTTTGTATTTTAACCATATACGTGGGTGATCGGATTTTCAGCGGGTTAGACAAAGCTCCTCCAAATCCATGAATCTCCAATTGGTCAATTTCGCGGCCTCTAGGCGGGTTGAGTTTTTCCACTAGTCGGCGAGAAACAAAGCTGGTCTGACTTCCAGTGTCAAAGAATACGTAAACAGGGATTCTTTCCTTACGGCCTCGGGCAGTAACCATTAATCTTTTTGTCATCAGATACGCAGCGGGTTTATTCTTGGCATCCGTTACTGTCGCAACCACAGTGTTCTCTTTAGGCGCTGGCAATTTGGCGTCGCAGTTTGTCCCATGATCAATAGAGTGCGGTTCGTCCCTCCTTTCCCATATTGACTGAGTAGATTGTCTCGGTTTAGCAACTGGTTCAAAACGATTAGGCTGAAAGAACGTTCTCTGAGTAGGTCCACCAAATTTGTGTTGAGTTTGGTTCCTTCCATCACGAGAAAAGCATACAAGAAAGTGATGACGTCCCTGGCATTTACTACAGCGACGGTGGTTCGGGCAGTCAATAGCTTGGTGACCATCTCTCAGGCAGTTCAAGCAACGGTTCTGTTCCAATAAGCGGTCCCTTCTTGCTTGGGGATTTCCATACTTGGTACATTCGCTTGGCAAATGGCCTCCTTCCTGGCATAAAGAGCAACAGAGCGGTTTATATTGGCTAGCAACTGGAAACGAATGAGTAGGCTCTGGCGAGTAAAATGGTCGTCCATCTCTTCGCGGCGATCTTTCTGGCTCCTTATTAGCGGTACATCTTTGCACTTCCTCTTCTACTGATATGAGCAGGTTAAGTTCTGATCTCCAATTTTCAATCTTCCAAGTTTTTCCTGCCATTTTCTCCTTTTCAATCAATTTGGCTAGTATCCTTCGGGGTAGTTTTTCCTTCAGAGCAAAGATAATCCATGAGTCGTCTTGGATCCCATAATCATTCAGTTGCCTACAGACACGCTCAACTACATCCAGAAATTTCCTAAGTCCGATCACTGAGTCATTGGCAGGCGCGAGGTGGTACAATTCAGATTGCAACGCTTCCTTCAGTGCTCTTGAGTCTCCATATCGAGATTTTAATAACTCCACCACACGAGGGTAATTCTCATTCGTTGGAAGGTAACCGGCTACCACGTTCAGAACTGGTCCATCCAAGAGAGAAAGCAGGTAGTTCATTTTTACCACATTATTATAGCTTGGTTCATTATCGATCGTAGACGAAAACATTTGCCAGAAGGTTGGCCAGTCTTTTGAATCCCCAGAGAAATGCGGCAAGTGAAGTGGCGGGAGATTCACTCGTGGTTGCAAAAAGGGCGGTTGCAGTGCGTGGTAAACAGGTAATCCTGCATTATTCCTCTCAGAATTGTTGGTCCTAGCATCCAAATGGTTTATTCCAGTGTTATTCATCCTAGCATCCAAATGGTTAGTTCTAGCATTATTTGTCTCCTCATTCAAATCTACGCTATGATTACTCTCACTCAGCGCCGACTGACGAGAGTTGGTTCGAGTGCGTTCCAGGGTGTTAAGCATTTCCGAAACCATGTTTAGGACTTCACGAGCAAACTCATTCTGGTCCAAAAAATGCCTTTTGGAAAGGGGAACCTCTTGTCCGTCTTCTAATCCACCAGTTTCTCCATGCGGGAAATTCATGTAAATAGATTCTTCAGCCATTCTTTGTGTTACATCAAGACTATTTATAATATCAGTCCACTGTGTGTCCAATTCAACAATTCGTGCTATGGCAGATTCCAAGTCCAGTTTCTTTGACCTTAATCTCTCACATATTCCTTCGTCCACATCTTTACCCATTAATTGCGTTGCTTCTCTCGTATAGGTTTGTATTCCCTTCAGAACTGCTGTAATGTTGCGTCGAATACAGGCAGCCATAACAATTCAGTTTGATTTAGTCCAGAGCAATAAATTTCCAAAGAGAGCCAAAGATTGATTCCACACGGTGACCAGGATGGTTTCCCGGCCGTTGCACCAAAAAATATGTAGTAAAACGCCTAGGGACCAAATTCAAAGTTTCAGCCTAATAGCTTAGTTCCAACAATTAAATTCCAAACAATTAAATAATATTT